CCTCCCTCGTCTGCCTCCGCCCTCCGTTAGGTCCCAGAGTACCCACCGCCTCCGTCGCTCCTGATCTGAAGCCAAAGATGGTGGGAGGGGCAGGGCCGTGGCTACTCGGGACTCAGGCTGCCTCCTCCGCGTGAGGCCCAGGCGCTGGTCTGGGGAGCGGCTGGAGAGGGGCCTGGTCCCCGCCGTCCCCCGCAGGGAGAGCGGGACTGCGCCAGGGCCGCACTGATGAGGTTCCTAAAGGCTGCACCCCAGGCCCCACTGGGGCTGGGGTGAGGGGGGCGGTTTTCTCTCTACATGTAGCATTGACCTTGGCCCCGGCTCCCTCTGCACCCTGCCCACCCCGTCCCAGCGACGCCCCGACAGTGGGACCCGCGCCCAGCCCAGTGCCCCCCCACACTCAATACCTCAGCCAGGGGCCAGACACAGAACTTGAATAGAGGCCATGCCCCTCCCCCACAGGACACCCTTGCCCAGTTTGGCCGCCGTCAGTATTGCCCCCCCCAGAACTGGACAGGCTTCGTTTACACAGTACGGGGTCACCCGGGCCCCAGCCCCCCTCCCCACTCTGGCTTGCTTCATCCAGTCTCACCCACCTCTCAGTGGTTCCCTCGGAAGTCTCCCGCCCTGGCTGAGGTGGGCCGAGGGGAGGGGCGCCCCAGGCCTCCTCCCGCGGACGCCCTTGACCATACCTCACGCCGGCGGCCGTCGCCGGCCGTCCAAGTTCTTTTCGTCATAGTCTCTTCAGCGCCCCTCGGGCCGCGTCCCAGCCTCAGTTCCTGAACCATTTCAAACCTTCCAGATGACCATTATTGCTGAGAAGGGTCGTGCAGTTTTTAGTTTTTATTTTCGTTTCAAAGCCAAAGGGCCTTGCGATGCCCCTCTTGCCCGCCCCTCACACCCCGCCCCCCGCGCCCCCCTTACGACAATCAAGGAGACCTCTCTTAAGGGCTGCAGCCCCGCCCCGCCCTCCCGGCTCTGCACAGCTTGCCCTCACCTCAGCCCGCTCCTCAGACCTCCCCATTCCACCCCTCTCATTCTGGTGCTGGGAATTAGGTGGTGGGGGGCGGGGGAGAGGGAGGGGAACCTCCAGAGGAGACTCTTGGGGTATCAGTCGTGTTCTCCTTTACCAGTACTTGGCAGTGACAGGAAGCGTCTTGCGTATGCGTCAGGAGCCCCATGTTTTGCTCGATGAGATTCTGGCGGCTGCCGGCCCGTGCCCCTTGGGCACATGTCAGCAGAGCGGGGCGGGCGGGCGGCCTCTGTCCCTCCTCATGTGGCTGTGGGGGGCCTGGAGGACGAGCAGCCTCCTCTCCTTATGCCAAAGGAAACCCCACGCGCAGCCCCCCCCCCGCCCCGGGCTCCCCAGCCCCTTGTGTTTTTTGAAGCATTCTGACCATTCTCGTGGCCACTGCATATTTATTTTAATGTTAAGGTTTTTTTAACCTCTTTGACTTAAACGGGTGTGGGGAAGTAAAACAGGCAGAATGCCCCCCAATCCTTAGGAGGTAGGGTGGGGTGGGGAGGCCGCCTCTCCAGCCCTCCCCGCCCCCCCCCACCGCAGCTCTAAAGCACTTGCTTCAAGAAATAAGCACTTTTGAGAAACGGCCTGTTGTGAGTGGGGGCTCGGGGCAGCCCCAGGTTCAGCAGAGGAGACTGAGGGGGCCTGGGGGCAGGGAGGCAGGCGTGTAGTCGGAGGGCGGGAGGGGAAGAGCCAGTTTTTAGTTTCTGATCTTGGGGAGACGTTTCTGGCTGGGCGGTGGCTTGGGTAGTTGTGTACGATCCTGCAGGAAGACAAGCAGCTCAGACTGTCGGCCCCGGGTGGGCCAGCAGGCCGGGTCGCTGCCGGCGTCCAGCCGAGACCGAGGGGCCACCTCGCCACCGTGGCCCCAGCCATAGGACTGCTGAAAACCACTGAATGTACAGCCCGGGGGTGGGGGCAGCCCCTGGGGGAGGGGGCCGCGGGGGGTGGGGGCAGCCCCTGGGGGAGGGGGCAGCCCCTTTTGTTTGGTGCTGTGGGGGGGTGGAAGGGATGAGACAGGAGGGACCGCCACCCCACTTCGACACGTGTTCCTTGCTCGGGGTGGAGGGCTGCGGAGGGCCGGCCTCCCTCTCCGCCGGCCCGGCCCCCCACCCCTGTCCGTTTTGACTGTAAGTCCAGCTCACCTTTGCCTTCAATATGTAACCAAAGGAAAACTCAATACTGTTTCCGCCGCTCTCTGCCCACCCAAGCACCTTCTGACTCCCTGCACTTAGAAGGGGGGAGGCCAGGCGGGGGTGGGGGTGGGCAGATGAACGGTTCTACACCTGTACCCCGAAACCTCCTCTGGGGTCTCGGAAGACCCCTGAGCGCCAGGCGGGGCCCAGCACGGGGCTGGGCGCTCCGTGTCTCCCTCCGACTGACTGACTCCGTGACTGTGCCCCAGCAGGGAGGTCCCTCGCTCCTGCCCAAGCTCCCCTTGCCACCCGGCTCCCGTGTTCATCCCCGCTGCCCCTTCCCACTGCAAAGGAAAATAGCCTTACAGACCCTACCCAGAACAGACCCCGCCTGCTCCCTCCCCTTTCGAGGAGTGAGAGAAAGGGGCGAGCAGCCCTCCCCTGACAGGCGGCTCTGGCTGGCTGCGAGGCCTTGACCCAGGCTGGGCAAGGTCGGAGCAGGAATCTGAGGACCAAGCCCAGTGGTCTGGGAAGAGGGAGGCAGGCAGGGAGCGGTCTGACGGGTCTCTGCCCGCCTGGCCGCCCGCCCTAGAAAAGCGACCAAACCCCAGGGAGGATGCGGGAGGGTCTGCTCTATGAATTACTTGAAGGTACTGACTCGAGGCTGCTCTTGCCCACTAGGTGTGAGGGGACGCTGTCACTGCATTTGGGAGGGCCGGGGTGGCTGAGGGGGGACCCGCCCTGCCCTCGCCCACTCCTGCTGGCCCTTTCCCCAGGGAGCCGGGCTTTGCCCAGGGAAGTGGGGAGAGCCTTCCCCTCCCATCTCCATCCCTCACTCTGGGCACCCTCTCCGATTGCACTAAAGTAGCTGTTGTGCCAGTCTAACCCCACGCCAGGGTGGGGTCTCTGCTTCCAGCCCTCCCCCCACTGCCTCTGCCCCGCCCCGGACAATCTCCTTTCCCTGTATTCCTGGATAGCTCAGCTTTGTGTGTGTGTGTTGGGGGAGGGTGGGTTTGGCTGGCGCGGGGCCGGGGGTCGGGAAGGGCTGGGGTGCCACCTCCTGGTCCTTCCTCAGCTCCCAGCCGCGCAGAGGCCTGGGGGAGGCGTCTGCTCTGCTGCCACTGCCTCGCAGATGTGCCAAAAGGGGGGTGGGCGGGGGGGTGCCTGGCGGAGCGCCCCCGCCCCCGGGGTGGCTCTCTCAAAGCAATACAGTTCCCCCTGCTGGGGGGTGGCAAGACAGGGGAGAGGGTTGGGTTGGGGGCCGGGGGTTCCCTGTGTACAGCTGTGTATATTCAGGGGTGTTCTCTGTCCGGTACCCGCCGTGGGCGTCTCTGTGCGTGAACTCCCCACCCCCGGCCCTGCATGACCTGTGATGCTGCAGACACGGCTGTCCTGTGCAGGGTGGGCGGGGCACGAGGCAGCCCGGCCCGCCGCACCCCCACCCTGTGACCCCTGTACTCGGTTGTAGGAAGTAAAGAGAACTGAGCACAATTCACTGGATCCTAGTGGCATCTTTCTCTAAGCAATGTCCGCCTGCCCCTCTCCCTGCCCAGACCTGCCTGTGGTGCTAGCGTCGGGCCGGGGGTCTCATGCTGGAGGCAGCAATAAAGGGCAGCTCTGCCCAGACGCCTGCACCCCAGGGTGCGGGGCAGCAGGGTGACTGGGGACCTCGGTGCACTTGCCCCACCCCCTCTCCCGGGCTAAAGCACAATGCTCCCCTGAAGATGGACGCAACCCACCCCTCCAGGCCCCCGCCTGCCCCCGGAGCCCCCCACACCCTGGTTTTCTATGCTGTTTTGGTGCAAGTACAACTGTCGTAGTTATGGCTTCGGGATGGGTTCTGTTTATTAAAATCCTGTTGCTCCTACTGGCCCTGTGTCCCGCCTCGGTTCCTGCAGCGGGGCGGAGGGCGCGCGCGTCAGCCGGCCAGCAGGGGCGGCAGCCCCCCCTCCAGCAGGGCTATGGAGAGCATGAGGCCGGCGCCCAACAGCAGGCCCAGGCCCTGCAGCAGCGCTTCGGGCAGAGGAAGGGGCTCGGGCCCGCGCAGCAGGGCTGGGAGCTGAAGGGAAGGAACAGCACAGACGGGGTTTTCGGGGCGCCGGGCGGCCCGACCCCCCCACGCCCTCGGGCTGGTCGCACACCCCACTCCTCACCATGTCCACGAGGGCCACGTAGAGGAAGACCCCGGCCGTGACCCCAAACACCCAGGGGGTGAGGGGGGCGGGGCCCAAGCTGAGCCCCACCCCCAGGGCCGCGCCGCCCAGCCCCAGGGCCCCCGACACCAGGCTCAGCAGCAGCAGCCTCCGGAAGGGCAGCCCGGCCCGCAGCAGCATGGCGAAGTCGCCTGTGGGGAGAGGGGCCGGCTTGGGGGAGCCAGCCAGGGCCCCCCAAGCCGCCCAGCCGCCGTCCTCCAAGGAGCGCCCCTTGGCGGTCTCTGGAGCCCCCCCCAGCCCGCTTCTGCCTGCTACCGAGTTCGTGGGGCAGCTCGTGGCAGAAGACCGCCAGGGTGGTGCTGAGGCCGCTGGAGAAGCTGTCGGAGAAGGCGGCGCCTGCGCAGACGACGACGACGACGAGGCGGTGAGTCCGAGCCGCGCCCCCCGCCCCCCCCGG